CCTTGATCTTATTGAATTAAGATGAGGCGATTTGTAACCATTAGAGACACGATAATCATAACTCATTTTAGAAAACATTTTTGGCGCCGGGTTTTGAAAATTATTTTTATATTTTGGCACCTGGGAAGAGAATGGTTGCTTTGGTCTATAAAAAACATTACATCTATTGCACAACCAATCTTTTTGAGTGGGATGAAATCTCCCAACTTTATTTCTAGAAAAGCTTCCCTCTTTTCTTTGAAATCTTTTTGCACTTGACTCTTTGGCATATCTTTGCTTGAAGAAATTTTGTTTTGCCGTATAATTAAATTGTTTCGGCCTTTCAACATTCATCTTTGCATTTGTTTGATAGCCAAGTCCTTGTCTCATCGTGCTATTCTGACTTTTAACAAATTTTACCACTTGAACTTTATTATTTAAAGTAGTAGTAGAATTAGTCAGATTTTGAGGGATTTGAGAACATGTGGAGTCATAACCAATTCCGGTTCTATCTCCTGATGGCTTTTGCATGCTCACCATTTTATCTATAATTTTAGACGAATTAGTGAACGTAGCAATAGTAGCTCTAAGATTATGTTCTCTAACCTCTCTAGCTTTACACTCTTCTTGAAGATGAATATTTTCATTCTTCAATTTACTCACTTCAAGTAAAGCATCTTGCAATTTTTTATTCATTTCTTCTTTTTCAAGAATTAGAATATTATTGCGCTCCTTGAGTTGAGGATGAGTGAGCATAATCTCTTGACATTCTCGCATTAGATTGTCAATAGATTCACGAGAAAAAGAAGAATTAACAGAATTGAAAGAATTAGAAGTTACCTCTTCTTCCTCTGCTTCAAGAGCCATAAGACAATCTTCACTTGTACTCAACTCAATTGACTTGCATATTAGCACCGTATCATCATCTGAACATGTACTTTCATCGCTTGATGATGAATCTTCCGAATCATCATTTTCGTTTGGTTCGTTGCTAACGAGAGCTTTTCTTTTGTCGCGCTTGAACCTTTTGCTTTCGGATTTGTTCGGCGTAGATTCAACATTTTTGCCTTGATACTTGCTAACGATCGGATACGGACAATTTATTTTAAAATGTCCGGATTTGCGGCAATTGTAGCATAAATCCTTATTTTCTTCGACTTTTTCTTCTTGTGTTATGCGAGAGATGAGTTTTCCACGAGCAGAATTTTTGTTGTCTCCTTTTCGCATAAACCTTTTAAATCTTTTCACAAAAAGAGCAAACTGTTCGTCAGTCATATAATCAACATTATTTTCTACTGACCTGGAGGTTGACGGTTGTTCGGCCATTAGAGCAGAATTTCGAGCTTCATGAACATCATAATCTTTGGCCTTCATTTCGAACTCATATGCTTTTAGATCACTAAATAATTTGTCTGTTGACAACATTCTTAGATCTCGGTGATCGCGCATAGCCGTAACCTTCATATCCCATGCAGATGGTAAGCCTCGTAGGATTTTGAGATTAATTTCTTTTTGGCTAATATTTTTGCCAAGATCACTAATCTCTCCAAGAACTTTGATCATTCGAGCTTCCATGTCTACAACACTTTCATTTGAGAGCATTTTGAAATCTTCAAACTTCTTCATGGCGATTGTGAGCTTATTGTCTTTTTCTTGTTCATCTCCTTCGCCAATCTTGATAAGAGTTTCCCATATTTCTTTGGCAGTGACACACTTTCGGATCTTCGGAAATATTGTATCATCAACGGCTTTGAATAGAATATCCTTGGCAATATTGTCAAGATTATTCCGCGTTCTATCGTCCGATGTCCATTCCGGTTTTGGCTTTTGTACGTACAATGGAGCATCCGGGGATATAACAAACGCCGTATTGATTTTTAATATTTCTATAGGGCCAGTGGAAATAACTTCCCACATTTCATCGTGTAAGGCCGATAAGTGTACCTGCATACAAACTTTCCAATCATCAAATTTATCAAGTGAGAATAATAGATTTTGAGCTAAATCTTTCTTCATCATCATCAAGAGAGATATGAAAGATTAATCCAATTCACACACTTTTGTAGAATGGATCAGCCTAGCAGTCAAAAACAGTTAACCCAGTTGGGCAACGTGTTTTAATACCAAAGGTTGGTATAAACTGACTCAAATAGGCTACAGGCTCTGATACCAATTGTTGGTCCCAAAAGAGGTAAGGTGAAAGTCTAGAGGGGGGGGGGGGGGTGAATAGACTTTCAAACTTTTTCGCACAGCACAACAATTGCTAAGCCAGAGATAAACCAAAACTATTAACTAGATTGTTAGAGTATGGTTCACAGCGGAAATAAATAAACATAAAGTGTGTGTGAGATTGTGTGAGCAGTGTATCTCGTGTAGAGCGAATATTTAAAGAGCGGTAAGTAAAGAAAGCAGTAAAGAACACAAGACAATTATAGTGGTTCGCGAGGTGGTGTAATCCTCCTACTCCACTTGCTCTTATCTCCAAGAGCAATTCACTATATTTACCACTTCTTGGTTCCAAGATACAATGAATTTCCGTGATCTAGTGCTTTGATCACAAAGCCCGCACTAATCACGCCCAGTGACACCACACTGCTGCTTCGGGTTTCACGTCGCCGCGCTACTATCCCAGGATTTCACGACTCCGCGTTACTTTCCCCCCGTCTTCCACACTCCGGTAGAAACGTATCCCGTGATCTGGTGCTTTGATCACCAAGCCCACACCAATCACGCCCAGTGCCTCCGACACTTCTGCTTCGGATCTCACAGCTCCGTGTGACAATCCAGGATTTCACAGCTCCGTGCTACTTTCCTCCCTTCTCTTGTTTTGCTCCAAAACAAGTGTTGTCTTTCTTCCAACTTCTGAGACTCTGTAGATGATCTTCAATGATGCGCAGGTCTCTTTGATGAAGATAAACACTCTGGAATGATTTCTCTTGATAGCTCTGAGTGTTTTCTCTCTTTGAATATATCAAGTAAAGCACTTGATATTTTGCTCTGCTTTGCTCTGTTTAAGAACTCTCTAAATATTTTTCTTTGAGGCTCTCTGAGTTCTTTTTCTTTTCTCACTTCTCACTTGAAGATTTTTGGTATGCTCTGTACCAAATGAGATTTTTGCTCTATGCTCTTTTCAAGCTTAATTGCTCTATTCGTTCCCCTTTGATGGGTTCGAATTTTCTCAACTGCTCTATCTCTTTTCAAGTTCGTGTTATGCTCTTCTGCACTTCAAGTCTTCATATCTTCATCATTTTATAGCTGGTAATGAGAATCTGTTCGTTGGAAAGAGACGCTCTCATTTTTGAAATCTTGTATCTTTTTGTCAGAGATCTTATCTTATCTTCTGCAAAGATGTCAGAGAGGATAAGCTAGCCGTTGTTAGAGCTTCATCTCCATGTAAATGGGTTCTCAAACTTCATTTGATATTTCCTCTGGTTTTACGTTGAGTGGGAATATCTGGGTGTAGAACGGCTTCTCTGATTAGCTCTGAAGTGGTCCTTGTGTCTTTGGGATTTTAAAATATTCTTCAATTTAATCCCATACTAGTTAAACTATTATTTTTCCTTGTGAGAATATTTTCACTGTAAGTTCATCTTCATCTTCTTCATTCTCACGTCTGGGTGTTCTCAGACTTCAAACTGGCTTTGAACTTCCACCCAATTTGAATTTCTCCTTTGTAATTGACACCCAATTTCAATTGGCTTGTAATTGGCACCCAATTTGAATTTCTCCATTGTAATTGGCTCCCAATTGACTTTGACTTGCAATTGGCTCCCAAACTGCTCCTGGTGCTTTCAATTGCTTCCCAATTTGATTTGTTGACTTTGACTTCAAAATTGGCTCCCAGACTTCTCACTTCGAAATTTGCTCCCAGACTTCTCCTGGTATTGAATTTGAATTTCATCTCAATTCAATTTGATCTCCATGTCTTCTTTGAATCGGTCCCCAACTTGAAATTGCATCCCATACTACAACCTCAATTGGCTTCCAATTTCAATTCTACATTGGCTCCCATCTTCCTTAATTGGCTCCCAATTTCAATTCTACATTGGCTCAATTAGGAGCTCCCAATTTCAATTCTACATTGGCTCCCATCTTCCTCAATTGGCTCCCAATTTCAATTCTACATTGGCTCCCATCTTGAATTGATTATCATGTGAAACTTGCTCCCAATTTCAATTGATTTCAATTTCTCTGAAACTGGCTCCCAATTTCAATTGCTATGAAATCGGCTCCCAATTCTTCTACATTGGCTCCCATCTTCCTCAATTGGCTCCCAATTTCAATTGATTTCAATTTCTCTGAAACTGGCTCCCAATTTCAATTGCTATGAAATCGGCTCCCAATTCTTTTGAATTGGCTCCCAAGTGCAATTGCATCTCAATTGCCACCCAAGTGAAATTGCTTCCCAATTTCCACTTGTAATCGGCGACCAAAGCTTACACTAGCGCCCAACTCCATCAGATTAATTTAATTTGGCTTCTCAAATTTTACCTTGTAAAATTGTTGATGGTGAGTTTCAAACTTAAGCCATTTTGCATAATATATCAAGCATCATCCATTTCGTCCGTACAACTTTTGAATAAATCTCCAATCACATTTGATGTACTCCTTTCTTTCCATAGATGCTTGATCTCCAAGTCAATTTCATGCATTCTTCCAATATTAATTTTCTTCACGAAAATTCTTCTGGGATATCTTCTTTGAGTAGTAGCGACGTGAATATTGTATCATTCATCTTCTTCTTCAATTTGTCATTTTGTCCAGACAAATTCTTGATTTTAGGCTTTATATCTTCTTCTTCTATTTTCATCCATCTTCCTCTGTTTTTCTCTTTTCATAATTAAATAATTTCCCGATCATGGTCTAAGACTCTACTAGACCTATAAAATAAAATTGGGGGATCTACAAATACAAATTTGGCATATCAAAACCATTACACTTTATTCCTAACACCTTCAATCGGACAAACCGAATTGAAAAAACACATCCAATCTGAATTGAAACTGAATGTGGGAATCTGTATGGTAAAGAGGGCAATCAAAGCTGTATTGAAGAGGATTGATGCTGGTTTTCAAGACCAATTTCGTAGAATAAGGGATTATGCTACTGAAAGTATGAATTCTAATCCCGATACCTCTGCTTATGTAAAAACCAATAAAACAATACCCGAATGTCCTTGTGTTTTTCAGAGATTCTATGCTTGTTTTGCCCCTGTAAAGAAAGGGTTTTTAGAAGGATGTAGAAAAGTAATTGGGTTAGATGGATGTTTTTTGAAGGGAATGTTGAAAGGTGAAATATTGAGTGCAGTTGGTAGAGATGCTAACAACCAAATGTGTCCTATAGCCTGGGGGATTGTAGAGATAGAAAACACTGATTCTTGGGGTTGGTTTCTTGGGGAATTGAAGGCAGATTTGGGCATCACTAATACTTTCCCTTGGACTATAATTAGTGACCAACAAAAGGTAAAGAACAAATTAATACAAAATCACTTGTAACACTTTATTTAAGGTTTGGATTATATTTATTTTGTTTGTTATAATTTGTAGGGATTAACACATGTGATTAAAGAGTTGTTTCCTGACGCTGAGCACTGTAACTGTGCAAGACATGTGCACGCCAATTGGAGTAAGCTACATAGAGGCAAAGTGTTGAAAAAACACTTTTGGATGTGTGCAAAGGCTACCAATGAACCTGAATTCCAAGAACAAATGAAATGTTTAGGAAAGATGGACCCTATAACAAAAGTTGACTTAGAAAGGTAATCTGATTTATAACTTGTGTTTTAGATGTGTAAAATCTGACCTTTGAAGTGTGCTTTAGATGTGCAGAAACTGATTTATAACATCTGTTTTATATGCCCAGAATCTGATGTGTTTTAAATATGCACAATCTGAATTATAATGTGTTTTGAAGGTACCCTCCAAGATTTTGGTGCAAGGCTTTCTTTAGAACAACTGTCAAGTGTGATGCTGTGGATAACAATCTCAGTGAGGCTTTTAATAACACCTTGGTCAAAGCAAGAGTCAAGCATGTTATCCCTATGTTAGAAGACATAAGAGTAGGGGTGATGCGGAGGATTGCAAAAAAATTTAAAGCGGTGGAAAGCTGGACTGGAAATTATGGACCATTGATCATGAAGAAGTTGGATACAAATATACATGAAAGTATGGGGTGGAAGGTATAGTGTTAACTTTTAGTTTAGCAGATGAATATGTGCTTAATATAATGCTGAATTTTATTTGTGTTGAATATATGCGCCAGGTTGATTTCAATGGAGATGATGGTTATGAAATTAAGAAAGGGAGACAACAATTCAAGGTCAAACTTGCAAGTAGAAGTTGCTCGTGTAGGGCATGGGATCTTTCTGGTATACCATGCCCACATGCAATATGCGCCATCTTCGACATTGGAAGGGAACCTCATGAGTACATTGACTCATGCTATTCAAAAGAGGCATATCTAAGGACCTACGCCCATACACTTCAACCAATGAATGGAGAGCTATTCTGGCCAAAGACACAAAATGAGGAGATACTTGCTCCAATTCCTAAAAGAATGACGGGAAGACCAAAGAGAAAAAGAACACGTGAGGCAAGTGAAGGTCTATCTCGTCCTAATAAAAATACATCAACTACCGATAAGACTACCTCTACCTCTGCAAAGAAAAGAGTCTCAAAGAAGGGAAAAGAGATGCGTTGTTCTCTTTGTAAGAACTCGGGCCATTATAAACCAAAATGTCCTAATAGGAATGTAAGTACTCCAACTACTGCTATGTTCTCATTATAGTACTTCTACCAATTAATTATGTATACTCTTTACCTTTGTTGTAGCTTGGTCAATCACAGGAGCAAGTCATTGACCCTGGATCAAACTCAAACAATCAAGCCTCTCAAGCTTCAATTAACCAATGAAGCAGCAATTACAAACTTAGTTTGTTTTTATTGTTGAATCTGCTGTATGAACTTAATTGCTTATACTAAGGTCTTCTAAATAGATTGTCATCTTTTTTGTCTTCTTGGCAATTGTAATCTGTTTGGTCTTGTTGCAGATTGTAAACATAGTTTTTTGGTTGAATCTGCTATAAGGTCTTGTTGGCAGATTGTAATGTTTTTGTTGTATGAACTTATACATTGAATATATTGTGTTTTCAATCTTTATCCAACTATGTTTTCTCTTTTTGGTGTATGAATAGTACGACTCTGCATTTTCAAAGTGAAAGTCAGTAGGGGAAACCTGTCAGATTAGGTTTCTGAGTTGCTCTTTAATCAACAGGGTGCTTCAGAGGGGAAAATGTGAAAGAGTACTTAGTCTCCTAATGCCTTGTTTCTCCAGTCTGGGAAATTCATTCACATGTTAATCAAGATCCCATTTTTCTTTCTACCCTTTTCTTAGAACAATGGTATTTTCGGCAAGAACTTTATCCAACAAAAAAAAAAAAAAAAGAAAAAAAAATTGCCAACATCAATTGCATCATATATTACTGTAAGGTCTTTATCCAACCAAAAAAAAAAAAATTCATTAAAGATTCAATACATGGCTTAACTAGTAACATAGATTCATATGGCAACAAAAATAATAAACTAAAGCAATATATTAATAAACTAGAGCAAAGTCATGAGAGAATCATATCGTTTTGTCTTTTGGTGCAAGCTTACAAACACAACAATTCCTACAACCATTATACAACCAATTATTATGTTTCTTTGTCTTTTTTTTTTTTTTCTTTCAACTTGAGCTTCAAATCTCTTCTGAATCACCTTGCAATTGTCGAATTTCTTCCATAATTTATGAGTTCATCTTTTTCAACTCTATTATGACATTCTCATTCAAATCCCATTCAACCCCTTCCTCTTTGCATAACAATTTTTTCCAGGCTGCCAACCAAAAAGACATCAAGCAGTTAATCAAGGGTCGAAGGCCTCATAGCAGACCTAATGATATTCCTTGCTTTCTTGTCTCAACCACTACTGGAAATTCTGAAATTTCTGACCACCTGAAAGTGATCTTAAATCAAGTTGAAAGTCTTGTTCCGACCACTTTTGGTATCCGGAAAAACCTTTGTTGCTATTTCCGACCACTTTTTGGACTGTTTGGTATCAACTTAATTTAAGATCATTTTCAGGTGGTCGGAAATTTCAGAATTTCTAGTAGTGAACTAATAAGAAAGGAAAAAAGTCCCTAAGCTGCACTGCTTCAATTGCAAGTGGTGGTTGACTCTGGATTCAATTCATGTGCGCATCACATCTGCACTGCTAAATTCACATCCACCTTCGGACAAAAACAACATTAAACACAAAATTATCCACATGTTAAACATGTTGCTAAAAATCGAAGCCCCAAAAAATTAAACATTCACTCAAAGCTACGTAATTGATAAGAGATTTTTACGCACCATTGACACTCAAAAAATGGTTGCCCATTCTCTCGTGATACACGTAGTGGTGACTTCAACCCACAATGACAATATAATGATAGGTTCACACTGTAAATTTATTCTCGACTTTGAAGGAGATGAAAATGGTGAACCACTCCAACAAGATGATGTCATCTCCAACAAGAACGAATCATTGTTGAAGGCGAAGGAGAAACACTATACTGGGTGAGATGGAGTACAAAGAAGAAGAAGAAGAAGACACGTGAAGAAACGCAATGAAGAATATGCATAGAAGAATTAGAATTTAGGGCTGAATGTGATTTTACATTCTTTTCTTATTAATTTAATTTTTTTAATTTAATTCTTTTTTATGCTTATGTGGCAGCCAAGTACCCACTCCAACGCTTATGTGTCACGCCACGGTGTCAATTACCGGTTCATCAGGTAAAAGTTACCGGTTAATGGGATCAAATGACTAAAAATTGTGTGTTCATGTGTCCAATTGATCTTTTCAAAAGTTTGTGGGGTTAATTGACCTTTAGCGAAATGTTTAGGGGTGTATTTGACCCTTTTCTCTTTTCAATTCAAACTTTCACACATTAAAATAGTCATTTACATCAATATATAAATTAATTAAAAATTTTAAAATAAATATTAGTCTAATAATATGATTTATGAATTTTAAGAAAATATTAAAACATAATATACACATATAATTCGATTAATGGATCGATTAATTCGGTTAACCATATTTTTGGATCTAATTAATAATTAACCGAAATTTTTAAAAATCCTTAACCATCAACCCAATCAAAATATTTCATTTAAAATAATTAATTAAAATTTTTCTATCCAATCAATTAATTGTGTTTTAATTTCACTATTAAATTATGCACACCCCTACGCCGCACAGGATGTTATCTCTGCACTAATTGGTTAGCCTCCCCCAATGTCTCAAGTTCTCAGTAAGGAATTGGTTGGTGATCTAGTGATCGAGTTATGCCTTGAGAGATACTTCCTTTCTTTAATTAACATATTGCAAAATATAGCGCAATGATAGCCCAGAAATCAATCATTATTAGGTGAACCATACTATCAAATAATGTATATTCAGTACACAAATAATATACTTTTAAATTAGTATATTAAAAATACACATTGTATTCGGAGAATATACATTATTTGAATACTGAAAGTACATTATTTTGTATAATATATATTCAATACATGAATAATGTACTTCTCATATATTAAAAATGTACGTTTTGTTATGGTCCACATAGCACTATGTGAATCAAGATCCACATAATAATTTGCCCCTAGAAACATATGACAAAAGCTTCTTTTCTTTTTTTTTTTTGGGGGGGGGGGGGGGAGGGGGGGATTATTTTTATTTTTTTTTAATTTATAAAGGTTAAGCATGAAAGTCTAACATCAGTGGTTGGAAAAACTTCTCTCTCAACAAATATTCCATAAAAAGTTTTGAGGTTGGATAAGTAGTGGAGTTTTCCGGTGACAACTACTCATTGTATTGGTGGGGTTTTCCGGTACAAAAATTGCATCCTTAAAGCAAAACAAAATAACAGGCAACCAGGTCTTAGTTGTCTCCTTGGAACAGTGCCTATCTGATCTAAGAATCTGGTTTCTCTCTTTGTCTCCATCCATGGCCTGCTTCATCACAATGATCTTAGTTATAAGCTAAGGAGGGGAGTAGCAGTGTTAAAAGTACATTATTCGTGTACAATATACATTATTTGATATAGAGTAATATATAAATTAAAAATCATGTACTTTTAAAAATTAGTCATTTGTTGAAAACGAAATTTTTTCACAAATGCGCGACGAGTCGAAGGAACAATAACCATTTGAAACGTATTCAGGACAGTACGAGGAGATGGACGGAAGGCCAGGATATGCATGCTGAGATCATGCATTACAACAAGGAAATTTTTCAGTCCAGTGCCTGTGCCGCTGATCTGTCTCATCGAGTGCCGAGCCGCATCAGCCATGAAATGAATTCTAGATTACTTCGTTCGGTGGAGCCCGAGGAGGTCAAGAGTGCGCTGTTTTCTATGGCACCGGACAAGGCACCGAGGCCGGACGGTATTACACCAGCCTTTTATCAATCTTTCTGGTCTATTGTTGGAGGTGATCTTACGAGGTTCGTGACGGATCGTATCACTAACTGTCGACTACCACCGGGACTAAATGATGCACATGTCGTGTTGATCCCAAAGAAAAAAGTCCCCGAGTATGTCTCTGACTTAAGACCGATTGCTTTGTGCAATGTGGCCTACAAAGTAATTGTAAAGGTGTTAGCCAATCGACTGGAGGAGGTTTTAGATGAGATCATCTCATCCTCACAAAGTGCGTTCGTCCCAGACAGACTTATTACAGATAACATCACTGTGGCCGGTGAGATAGGACACTTTCTAAGACGCAAGCGTGGGGGAAAAGACCGTTGGGCGGCCTTGAAACTGGACATGGCAAAGGCGTACGACAGGATGGAATGGGGTTTTTTGAAAGGCATGCTGATCGCTATGGGGATTCGGTGGGCACGGTTATACCATCGAGGGGTATACAGCAAGGCGATCCCATATCGCCATATCTATTTATCATTTGTGCTGAATACCTGTCTTTGTTGTTACAGTGAAAGGAAGCCGGGGGTGAAATCCATGGGGTGCGGGTGGCACGGGGGGCACCCACAGTCTCTCATCTCTTTTTCACTGACGACAGTTTACTCTTTTTCAAAGCAACTAATCGTGAAGCCAGGGAGGTGAAAACGTGTTTGGATTGGTACAGTGGCGCTTCAGGTCAGTTAGTGAATTTTGACAAATCAAATATTATGTTCAGCGGCAACATAGGGGAGCACGTCAGTACACACGTAGCACGTGTGTTTGGGGTGCGTCGAACTGAGGACTTTGGCAAGTACCTGGGCCTACCATTATTTTTAGGCCGGAATAAGACTGCTTTGTTGTGGTACATTGAACAGAGAGTGCGGGACCGGGCTAACATGTGGCAAAAGAAACTCTTAAGCAGGGCCGGCAAAGAGGTGTTGCTAAAGAGCGTAGCCCAAGCCATGCCTATATTCGCTATGTCTGTTTTCCTTCTTCCCAATGGGGTGTGTGACTCTATAGAGAAAATCATGAATAGATACTGGTGGGCTAATGGGGGTCCAGGCCGTAAAGGCCTTCACTGGATGAGTTGGTCGCACCTTGCGATCCCAAAAACCTGTGGGGGACTGGGCTTCAAACGTCTACAAGATTTCAACGTTGCGTTACTATCTAAACAGGGCTGGCGAATTCTGGTTAATCCTCAGTCAATGTTTGCTAGGATCCTGAAGGCCAGATACTTCCCGGACACAGATTTCTTGGATGCTACTCTTGGACATAATCCAAGCTACACTTGGAGGAGCATCCTAGCAGGGCAGAGTGTGTTGCGTGAGGGAGTGATGCGACGCATTGGTGATGGGGCAGATACTTTTGTATGGGGGAATCCGTGGCTTGCTCATGAGTCGGAGCCATCATTGCGGACTGCTTGTGTTGTGGAGTTACGAGATGCTAAGGTATGCCAACTTCTTACTCATGAGGGCACTTGGGACGAGGATGTGGTGCAGGATATTTTTGTTGCACAAGACATTGATAGGATCCTCCGCACGCCAGTCTCACCGGCGTACAAGGACTCTTGGTGCTGGAGAGGCAACACTAGGGGATTATACACTGTTCAGCAAGGTTATCACATCCGCAATATCCTCCCTGTTCGTGAGCTGCTGAAAACTAAAGGGGTATGGATTGGGGGTGGTTGTTCGCTATGCATGGCGGACACGGAAACTCTAACTCACGTCCTTTGTGATTGTCCGATTGCGAGGCAATTACGGCGGTCGGACGACGTTCTTTGCGGTCGATCCTTCCCGGCTTTCATGGCGGCACTCCTGCGTGACTCGAACGAGATGCTTGCTCTGACCGCAGCAGCTCGTCTCTGGATGCTCTAGAGAGCGCGGAGCGACTGTACCTGGAACAACGTTAGATGGAGTGTTGCGAAGCTGGTGGATGAAGTGAACATGTTAGTGGCCACGTGGAAGGAGCACTTTGTGAACAAGAAGCGAGCCGTTCGAGGCCAAAGACCCACAGCAGGATGGGAACCGCCTCCACCGGATTTCCACAAATGCAACGTTGACGCCGCCATGCTGGATCATGGGGTGGGCTACGGAGCTGTTCTTTGAGACAGTAGAGGACGTTTCGTGGCGGCAAAAGGCGGGCGACTGATGTATGAGCAGGCACCATATCTAGCCGAGGCTTTGGCAATCAAGGAAGCCTTGACTTGGTTAAAGAACCGTGCGATGCGAGACGTGATAATGGAAACATATTGTCAAATTTTCTGCACAAATTATAATTCTTGTCATGTTGACTTATCTTATGTAGGTTTACTTATTAAGCAAAATCATGTAATTGCTAGAGACATTGGGAACGTGCTAGTTCGCCATGTCATGAGGTCAGGGAATCATGTAGCTCACGTCTTGGCGCGGGCGACTGTTTCGGAGTCTATCCTAGTTGTGTGGGATAACCGCCACCATATTGTATTTCACACTTGATCTAATACAAATCTTTTATTTGTGTAAAAAAAAATGTTAGTCGATAGTTAGAAATAGGGTTCTAATGGTAATTTCTCATTATGATTGCTTCTCTGCTGCTTCTGTTTCTCTAAGAGTTGAGCACCCAAATCCAAAAAACAAAAAAAAAAAAAAAACTATTTAAAAAAAATTGTAGGCAAATATTTATTTTTTTATTTAGGGTTGAAATTGATTTGAGATGAATATCTCCATTTCTGCGTGGAGCTTAATAAGGGGAAGGAGAAGGAATCATCCCAAATGTGATTAATTAAGGATGAGAAATTACCATTAAGACCATATTTCTAACCGTCAACAACTAACATAATTTGTAACAAATGACTAAATTGTGTAATTAAAACCATCAAAGTCGAAAGCTAAATTGAGCACAAAAAGTGATATAGGACTAAATTGTGTAAAACCACTATAGTTGATGACTATATTAATTGGGTATTGTTGGAATTCCGTTGGTGAAAACAAATAATAATCCTATAAAATAAGATTATTATTTTCTGTAGGAAGAGGGAAGGAAAGATGAAGAGATTGACTTTGTGTTTGGTGTAGGGTTTTTAGCAAGAGTCAAGTGATCACTCTTTCCTTAAAACCTTATTTGCCAACTCCCAAAAGTGCTAGGAGCGTTATGGCCTAGGCTTCCCAGGATAAACTTGATACGATTCAATGTTTGAGCACTCAAACATGGAATCCGGCGAACTAGAGCAAGATTATGAATACAGTAGGCTTAAGAAAAGAGTAGAAGCAGAAGTATTTTGAAGCTGAAAGAAGTGTACGTATGTGAGTTTCTTGTGTTGTTATAAAAAGCTTTTGTTCCAACACCCAACAATCAGGTCCGTGGTGGCGAAATAACTTAACCCACAAGGCCTGCCAATTTCCAAACGACATTCGTACCCGCAAGTGCCGACGCACACAAGATTTCAATAAGTTTAAAAAGAGCTCTTATATAAATAGTGGGGCAAATCCTCTTCCCAAACCAATGTGGGACAAAATCTCACTTTTTCCCTTCATTTTCCAACTCAAATGGGTCTACTTTGAGAATTAATATCTCATTCACCCATTATCCGTTTTGAGCATATAATATATCAATCTCTTCGTCTCACTACGAAGAATCCGAATCCACTTTGACCCGACCCAAATCGAAAGTGGACCCCACTGATAATTGTACCACAAAATGGCCACTTAACATGCCATTTTAAGCTATTTTTTCCAACAATCCCCCACATGAATGAAAATTGATTTTCGGGGTGTTTTGAAATCGGAAACAGCTGTGTTCAAACGATCGATCCCTGCATAGGATAGGTAGGGAGTCACTATACCCTTTGAAGTTTCCCTTGTGAAGACATGTTTACTCTACTGGCTGTACGGTAGAACGCGATGTCTTTGAACCGACTTCCGTTTGTGTAGACGATGACATATCTCACACAGGAACTTCCCAACCATGCTCTGTTCTCACAAGTGTGCCCGTTTTGGTCGTGGGTCACCGTTCCTGGTTCTGCGAGAGTTTCTAAAGAATTGTCCCCAACAATTCTCCTTTGAAGCGACCCTCACTTCTCTAACATAGGTGATTCTTTCTCGAGTATCCTGCATACTCAAGAATCATTAAAGCATCAACATGCTAGCCTTGTGCGGGAGTCACTATTTTAACGAGGAGTGGTAGGGAGTCCGAGACCCCCACAGTGATGCGCTCCGTTCCATAATTTAGTTGTCCCATTGAACCTAGGTGCCAGCTAGGTTGGGTATCCACTATAGAACTTTTTAGTCCAAGGGCTTTAGACCCATTCCTCGTGTCAACTTCCCCACAACTTCTTTGCCTAACCCTTTGGTCAGCGGATTCGCTATATTTTCTTTTGACTTTACGTAGTCAATCGAGACAACACTAGTTGTGAGTAGTTGTCTAATTGTATTATGTCTGCAACGCACATGTCTAGACTTACCGTTATACATATGACTCTGTACTCTCTCAATTGTGGCTTGACTATCGCAATGCACACATATTGGAGGTACTGGTCTTTCCCAATTAGGAATATCCTCTAGAAAATGGCATAGCCATTCAGCCTCTTCATAACCTTTGTCCAAGGCTATCAGCTCAGATTCCATCGTGGATCTAGCTATCACAGTTCGCTTAGAGGATTTCCATGCACCGACTGCACCGGCTAGTGTAAACACGTAGCCACTCGTGGACTTAGAGTCCTTAATATCAGATATCCAGTTCGCGTCGTTATACCCTTCAAGTACAGCGAGATATCTACCGTACTGTAGTCCAAGATCACAAGTATACCTCAAGTATCTCATAACCTTTACTATTGCCTTCCAGTGCATAGCACCTGGGTTACTTATATATCTACTGAGTTTACTAACCGCAAAGGCAATATCCGGCCTAGTACAGCTCATAAGATACATCAAACTACCAATAACCCGAGCATATTCCACTTGTGAAATACCTTCTCCGTGGTTCTTGATTAGATGAACGTTTGTATCAAACGGTGTTCTAGCCAAATGATCATCATCCTTGTTAAACTTTTCAAGGATTTTGTCAATATAATGTGATTGGCTCAACACAAGACCATCAGGTCTTCTAATGATTTTAATCCCAAGGATTAAATCAGCCAAACCCATATTCTTAATGTCAAATCTCGCATTTAACATGTTTTTGGTAGACTTGATCATCCGATCATCACTACCAACGATGAGAATATCATCGACATATAAACAAAGAATGACGTAGACGTCTATCGTTTCCTTAACGTAGACACATTTGTCACTTTCGTTTATTTTAAACCCGTTAGTTAACATCCGGGTTACTTGTCACTAACCGCAAAGGCAATATCCGGGCTAGTACAACTCATAAGATACATCAAACTACCAATAACCCAAGCATATTCCATTTGTGAAATACCTTCTCTGTGGTTCTTGATTAGATGAACGTTTGTATCGAACGGTGTTCTAGACAATTGATCATCATCCTTGTTAAACTTTTCAAGGATTTTGTCAATATAATGTGATTGGCTCAACACAAGACCATCAGGTCTTCTAATGATTCTAATCCCAAGGATTAAATAAGCCAAACCCATATTCTTCATGTCAAATCTCGCATTTAACATGTTTTTGGTAGACTTGATCATCTGATCATCACTACCAACGATCAGAATATCATCGACATATAAACAAAGAATGACGTAGCCGTCTATCGTTTCCTTAACGTAGACACATTTGTCACTTTCGTTTATTTTAAACCCGTTAGTTAACATCGCATGGTCAAACTTCTCGTGCCACTGCTTAGGCGCTTGTTCTAAACCATAGAGCAATTTAACCAATTTACACACTTTCCTTTCTTGGCCTGGAACTACAAACCCTTCGGGTTGTACCATATAGATTTCCTCATCTAATTCGCTGTTTAGGAAAGCAGTTTTCACATCCATTTGGTGAACTTCCAAGTTCCGCAAAGCGGCTATGGCAAGTATCATCCTAATGGAGTTTATTCTCGTCACGGGAGAATACCTGTCAAAGTAATCAAGGCCCTCGTGTTGCTTGTAACCCTTGATTACAAGCCTAGCCTTATACTTCTCGATGGAACCATCAGGTTTCATCTTCCTTTTAAAGACCCACTTGGATCCTAAGGGTTTACTACCCGGAGGAAGATCAACAAGTTCCTAAGTGTGATTCTGTATGATAGAATCCACTTCACTTTTTATAGCCTCTTTCCACATTGGTCCCTTTGTAGAAGTCACGGCTTCTACATACTTTCGAGGCTCGTTCTCTATCAAACAAGATAGAAAATCAGGTTTGTAACACCCCCGCATTTCAACAATATTTAAAACTTAATTTAAAGGGATAAACCGACTAAACATCAACATAAGAGAAACGGAAGCGAACTACATAATTCCGGGAGATGCTATGCCACACCTAAATCAAACATAGGTGCACAGGCAGATACTACAACTACAATAGTTTAACAACTCTACCACATCGGCTCACAGGCCTCAACAACTAATACAGGAAGAGATAACACTATCTACAGGCCACTAGCGCGCTCTCCAAGGCTACCCAACCTGTAAAGCAACAAATAGAAATGGGACGACGTCCGGTCAGCGAATAATGCTGGTAACCCACCAATACCTGTTAAGTATCATACATAGATAGGATATATATACAAAATCATTTCGAAACAGAATACATATATATAAGTGTAAAACCAAGAGTAAACACCGACTCAAGACTCATCACTCTCAAAGATAACACGAGAACACATCCCAAGACCACAAAGGACAACAACAACTCAAGGATAAAGACACGACAAACGGAAACACATGCCTAGGCGCACACGCCTTTGTGACTACACACGTCACAAGAAGAGAACACACAACCATGGCTACACAAGCCCTCGTGACATCACACATCACGAGTTTATATGCCTTCCTTATGCCCTGTTCCAACCTTATGGCTACCCCCAACCTTATATCTAGTTCCAACCTTTACCTCCAGGACCCCTGTACACCAAGTCCAACCTTATTCCTCCGAGGACCATCGTCCCCTCTCCAACAGATCTCCAACAGAACCACCGATTTCATAGTACACGAGGGTACCGTTCACACACATGGCAA